TTTTAATTATTGCCTTGCATGATATATTACTACTAACATTGAACTAAATTTGAGCAAGTAAAGTTATTTGCAATGTTTACATGCAAAGACCCGACCGACTTCCAAATCATGCCCCAGATATTATTTTTTACTTTTTAGTTCCATTTTCGATTTAGAAGTCGGTTTTATTTTTTGTTTAAAAAAATGTATAGAGAATGACAAAGTTACTCAGTTGTTGTCAAAATTAATTTTAGGTTCAGGGAATCATGCCAGAATCGACAACATTATTAAAATGTATTAAGCTATCGCTACGTGCCAATGTTATTCTCAAGCGAAAAGTAGCGGCAGTATACTTTAAAGTCTGTATCAAAATAAATTGTCATTTCCGTTCAGTTCCAATCTGATTTTTTTTAAAGTTGCCGCTTCAATATAACTTTATTCTTGATGATACCTTACAGGTTTACGAAGATAAATCAGCACTGAAAATGGTAAAAACAGCTGACAAGCTGCACCAACAACAAAAAAAATGAAGACCCTTAGCCAAAAATGTCGACCACTAAAGCATTAGGTACATTAGTATCAAAATTTATTGTATGAATTAAAAAATAAAATTCTAGTCACTCAAGAAGGCGCTATTTTGTTACAAAAATGCGCAGGATCTCCAGAATTCATTACAAGGCAAATTTTAAAGCACAGAGGTGAAGCTTGTCCTCGATCATATGGTGAAAAATTGCGCAAGTTTGCACTCACTTTAAACTTTTTGTCACCTAAAGCCTATAGCCGGTTTGTAAAAAGCACTTATAAGGCTTATCTTCGTCATCCACGTACCTTATCCAAATGGTACCAACGTGTAAAACACCTCTGCAGGTGAGGTGTTTAAAACTCGATTATATGCACTTTAGTAATCGATGAAATGGATATAAGAAAAGGTTTACATTGAGACAATTCCACAAAGAAGTTTTATGGGAGAATTAATACTGGCATAACAGAAGACTCAGTTTTCGCTGAAGAAGCCAGTGAGTGCTTTGTAATGCTCCTTACAGCAATCAATGAATCGTGAAAGCTGCTCGTGGGATATTTTTTATAAATAGCTTATAAGGAGATCAAAAAGCTCATTTGGTAAAAAATTGTATTCAAATGACAAAGGAAGCTGGCGTCAAAATAGTTGCGCTCACGTGTGATGGACCAGCGACAAATTTTGCTATGTTTAAAAATCTTGTGTGCGATTTACAAAACTCACAGGACATAACATAATTTTCTGTAACTAACGAAAAAGTTTGCGCATTTATAGACCCATGTCATTGCATTGATTAGAAGCGCATTAGGTGATTTTAAAATAATAATTGATGATCAACGACGTCAAGAAAATTTCAATTATATTAAATTGCGATTTTTCATTTTTATTAAATTAATTGAGCTTCAAGAAAAGGAAGGCTTGCACTTAGGGACGAAATGGAGCAAAGCACAATGTAGAATTTGCTACTCAAAAAATGAAAGTGCGTCTCGCTACTCAGTTATTAAGCAGCTCTGAGGCAAACTCACTTGAATTTGGTGAAAACACTTTAAAATTTTCACACTTTGCAGGCTGTTTGTTATGCGACTGCACAGTTTATTAGAATTATTAATAATTTATTCGATTGTCTCAATAGTCGATCTCTTGGCCCACCAGGCTGGAAAAAAGCTGTGTTTTGTAAAAAATATGGGGATTTTTCGAAAATGTTCGCTGAAGCAAAATTGTACACTTCTGGACACATCTATTGGCCCACCTTGTATTTTCAGTTTCGTTTGGTCCTAGCTAAAATTTTATATTAGGTCGAGCAAAAAGTTTTTATGCAGTTTTGAACCTGACACATTCACAATTTCATTCAATAGTCTTTTTTTGAATTTCGAACACAGAATTTAAAGAAACAAAAGACAATTTGGAGCCTGTTTGTTGATATCAAACAATGGAATACTAAGAAAACTTGGTTTTATTGGTTTACTTGGATTTAATTCTTGAAAAAGTGATTGATATCTTTGGTTTTGCAACAAACATTACTTATTCTTAACATTAAGGTGAGGTTCTATCAATAATCTATGGATACTTCACCTGAAGTCGCCGCCCAAGCTGTGGCACTTATCCAGGCCGGAAACAGCCAAAGAAACGTGAGTAATTTAAGTCGATCTGCGGTCCGAAATGTTTATCGGAGGTACCTAGAGACTGGCGGCTTTGTTCGTCGCCAAGGAAGGCCACGATCTCGGGTCACAACTGAAAGGCAGGATCGATTCATCGTGACGACCAGCTTGAGAAATCGTCACCTTACCTCCATTGAGATACAAAAACAAATTCGCGACTTCCACGGAGTATCCGTGAGCGCTCGAACTGTTCGGAGAAGGTTAAAAGAACGCGATATGGTACCACACAAGCCAGCTAATGGGCGCAAACTAACGCGAGCCCACCGAACAGCGCGCCTTCATTTCGCACGCAGTTTTCGTACTCTTTTCTGATGAGTCTAAAATTGTGTTACATGGCAATGATGAAAGGAAGAAGGTCTACCGACGTAAGGGAGAGCGTTTCGCACAATGCTGCTTTGAAGACAGGGTTGCTTATGGCGGTGGCTCATGGACTGTCTGGGGCGGTATATCCGCGAGCGGCAAAACTCAACTTGAGATTGTTACAGGACCACGGCTGCCAACATTAAATGCTGAAAGGTACATTCGTGAGTGCTTAGAACCTCACGTGATACCATACGCAGACTATGTGGACCCAAATTTTCTTTTTATGCATGATAATACAAGATTGACCGGCATCGTCAGGGAATATCTTCGGGATGTGAACATCACAGTTATAGACTGGCCAGCCAGAAGCCCAGACATGAACCCCATTGAGCACATGTGGGACGAGCTAAAAAGACGTGTTAGAGCTCGTCAGCCAGTTGCCCAGACGATGCAGGAGTTGAAAACTGCCATAGAAGAGGAATGGGAGATGATCCCTCAAAATTTCATAGAGCGGTTGATAAACTCTATGCCTAATCGTATGAGAGCTGTGGTAGATGCCCATGGAGGCAACACGCGTTATTAAATTAAACCTTTATTTGATAAAACATGTTTTTTATTCAAAAATCAATTGCCTTTAACAAGGCGCATATCCGACTTGTTAGGCGTAGCTCCATGTCGTATGGTATTCTGAATTCAAATTTAAAACAATACGATCGAAAAAGATGGTAAAATGTATCAGGTTTAAAACTGCATCAACATTTTTTGTTCAATCTAGCAATCATATTTCGGTAGGGGCCATAGAAACCTAAACTCTAAGGTGGGCCAATAGATGTGTCCCGAAGTGTATATCCAAAAATCAAAGTTAGAAACAGGTCAGTTGATTGTTACCTCTCGTCGTAAAACGGGCTTTATTGGTATGCTTGTGAACATGTCCAACGCAGTTAATTTATACCAGTCATTAATTATAGAAAATTAATTAATTACGTATTTACCAATGTATAGAATTGCTCAGAATCATATAAAACTTTCTTTTCTTCAATTCGTTCAAGATGAGGATACAATAATAATCCCAATGCTGAGCAATTTAAGGCTGCGTATAAAAGATTGATGATTCGTGTCGAAATAAAGGAACATGGTATTGGGAATTATATCCCTCTTGAACAGATTTCAATTTTCAATTGTCCAAGTACAAATGATCCTGTAAAAACATAAATATTTTAACAAACAAAACTAAGTTAATTGAAGAAGATGACAGATAACTGTATGGGTAGTACTAGGACCACTTAAAATTATCACAAGTGAATATTCGGCAAAAGTTCTCCACTATATAGCAGGGTTTATTGCAAGAAACTTGTCAAAATATAACTAACTAAGCCATAAAAGTAAGTGATTCTACATTTTGAAAATATAGACCGTTTTGGGTTGTTTTTTCCGAAAAGTAGCGATCGAGATACATGTGCATGTCAGGTTCATGTTGATGTTGAATTAAATCTATTAATTATTGCTCTGCAAAAAGCAAAAATTATAAATGAAAATAATCGCTATGATCTAATAAATTCAATTTGGTGTTCATCGAAGACTGAAAATAGTTTATTGAGAAATTGTAATGATTGCAAGTACAAATGTGTATTCAATAAAGAGTTTAATAATGAAAATTCGATAAAATATAGTAAAACAACAGAATCAGAGAAAATTGCAAAGTAAAAAGAATAACAATGAAAAAAAATTAAAAGCGAAGCCATTATTAGAGTTAATAAAAAATTTGATCAGAACTTAAGCGGATTCTTAACCTCTCATGTGCGGACTCTACGCGCACCCCGTAAACTGCTTAAGCGTAGATCTGCGCTCCGGTCACCTTCGACATATTAAACATGATTTTATAAATTAAATGCTATGAATAAGATCTAAGTTTCTTTATTTCATATCCCTGTTAAACAATCCTCCTTTTAAAAAGTTCACTCATTGAGTGAAGCCCATAGAACCGTTATTACGACTATTTCAAATTCAGTTTCGAATCGCAACGAGTGAAAAAGTTACGAGTGCAAGTTGAATAATCTTCCGTCAAATATCTTGACCCAGTACCTAACGGTTGTAAGAAGCCTCTTTATTTTACAAGATTTTCATACATTTTTTGTAATGTTTTGTTGGTATACCTACATCGTTGTAAAGATAATTTCGTCGACAACGTAGAATTTTAATAAAAACGCTAATAAATCTATGTAAAACCACTATCATTTCGAAGCGTAAGCGAATTTACACGCACACATATACAGAGCACCTCGGATGACGTAATGCATACGTACACGACGTCAGCCGTGTTGATATACGGAGTGTTGTTAATTTTATTACCCATCTTGTATGCTGAAGCGTATATCTACGCGAACACATTTTTTACTTTTCATTGACAGCTTAGTGAAATACAGCTATAATAGTAAATATTACGTATTATTATTCATGCAAAAATAACGGGTTTCCGTTAATACATCTTATTATTTTATTTATTTACTTGCTTCGAAAGGTGGAATAAACCACTAACGCGACAAATGACTTTTACCTATGCCGCTCGCGTCGGCTTCTCTGATATTGCGGTTTTGAGTTGCACTGAAATGGTGTCGGCGGCGAACTTCAAAAGAACTATATCGGCGCTCGATTTGACCACAAAGCGCACCGCAGTACGGGCGGTTTTTACGGGCGGCGCGGCGTCTTAAAAAGATGCCGTCTGTTTAGATACACGTGCTAAGTATTTGCGCAAGGTCGAATGTTAGGCCTCGTTCGTACGAGCGCTTTTTTAACGGGCGTTAAAAAAGCGCTGAAATGAAACAAATTGAAACCCGTATATTCATTCACACGAAGGCGCTTTTAAACCGCGGCGCTTTTTTATCGCGCACTGTTCGATTTTCGACGTTGGGCGTTGGACGTTAAATTGAATTGAGCATACGAAACTCCGTGTTTATGTTCAGACGAGCGTTAAAAAAGCGCCGGCGCTGCAATCAGTTGGCCGTGCGCTGTCATAGCGTTCGTACGTGTCTGCAGTCGTAGTGCGCGTCATTTATAATGACGACGTGGGTGCTCGATCCCGAGTTGCTAATTATGGAGGTTGAATCTAGACCTCTGTTGTACGTTAAATCTTTACCCGAGTACGCAAATAAATTACTAAAAAATGATTCTTGGGAGGAGATTGCAAGTAAATTGTCTTTTGATTGGGAGTCACTTGAAAAAGGAGAAAAAAATAAAAGATGTAAGTACCGACATTCAATTTTTTATTTAGTTTTTAATAGCAACGTAAATACAAGTTCACTCTAATCTTCGTCTCTTAATTGCATCGTATTGCCAAGGAAGGGAACCTTGTGGTGATGTAAAATATTTTGCGAAATAGTCTCGTACTTCTACACCTCTACTATTACTTCTTAATCCTGTCGTTTGTAAACATTGTAAAGTGTTATGATATAATGTATCTTCAAATTGGAATCCATCTTTGATCCTGGCAAAATTATGCAATATGCAACACGCTTTAACTACTGATATCGTGTTTTTGGGTTGAAGATCTATGGCTTTTGTTAAAACTCTCCACTTGCTAGATAAAATACCAAAACTACATTCTATCATTCTGCGTGCTCGTGCAAGTCGATAGTTGTAAATAAGTTGCTGCACAGTCAAGTTACGATTTGGGTATGGTCTTAAAACGTGTTCAGACAAAGCAAAGGCTTCATCACCGATTAACACATAGGGGATTGGTTTTACATTTATATCATTTGGTTGAATTTTGGGTTGTGGTAATTCTATTTGTCCTGATTCTAATCTCCTATGAAATAATGTATTTTTAAATACATTAGAATCGGAGGACCCACCATATGCTCCTACTTCGATGCAAGTAAAGCAGTAATTAGCGTCAAAAATTGCCATCAAAACGAGAGAAAAATAATTTTTATAATTGTAATATAATGATCCGCTTTCGTCGGGTTTTGTTATTTCTATGTGTTTGCCATCTACAGCTCCTATTAAATTAGGAAAATTGGTGCGCTGATAAAATTCTTCCGATATGTTTTTGAAGTCAGCACTAGTTTTTTCCGCCATGTAAATAGGCATTAAACAGTCCCATATCGCGTCACAGGCTTGTTTAACAATGTAATGTATGGTTGACACTCCTAGCAGGAACTAGTAGTGTAGATCATGAAAACTGTGACCAGTCGCTAGAAACCTGTCAACAATAAAAACACTTTGATTTAGTAAATATATATATTTTTTGTTTTTCAGGCAAAGAAGTGCAAGCTAAATGGAAACATATCAGGGATAATTTCCGGAGAGAATATCAGGCCCAGCGAGATGTTACATCGGGTCAAGGTGCAAAGAAAAGGAAAAAGTATAGGTATTACGACCAGTTATTATTTTTAGTTCCCCATGTGAAGGATGCCCCCATATCGGGAAACTATACGGCGGCAAGTAACGATTCAGAGCAGACAGAATCTAATGTAGAAAATACAGATAATACATTATCTGTTCCGCCTGCTTCTCCTCAGCAAATAAAAAAAAGAAAGAAGGAAAATACCATGTCAACTTTCGAAGAAGAGGTGTTAAAATCAATAAGAAATGACAAGGCGGAACCAGATGAAGATACATCATTTTGTTTATCCTTGGTCCAGTCTTTAAAAAAATGGATGATGATAATAAAATGGCTGTTAAAATAGAGATATTAAATATAATTCGGCAGTATTCCCGGTCCAATCAATCTCGACTTTTACAGAATAATCAACCATATCTTAGACAACCACAGCAGTTCTCACAAGTCTCGCAACCATCATCCATATCCATGAATCAGCCCCACGCTACAATAGAACTCAAATCTGTACATCCATCAAACGAAATAAAGATTCTAGAACAATATCAATATTTCCCGCCTATTACTTCTACGTCTACTTCTACTGGAAACAATTCAAGACCACAATGTGCACAAAGCTATTTTTCTCAATTCGTCCCCGTTCCCAGTCCGTCACCAACAGATACATCAAGTTCATCGATAGTCCTGTGTCCTTTGACGAATGTAACTGCTAGTTCACCAGAAGAATACTTGCCTACGGATACATATTCTCAGTATTAAATATTAATATTATATTAATTCGAAATGTCCTATCATACCTGATTAACATTAAATTAATTTGAATTAATACTATTCTCTTTAATTAATTCCTATAATATAAACAACAGTAACAATATTTTCTACAATGAAGGCCGCAAAAATTTATCGGGGGTTAATGCGAATGTGGGCAAATGCGACGGGGGCAACTGCGAATAGGGGCACATGCGTCGAACCCAGAGTTTTGTGGCCTTCGTTGTGCGAGATATTATTGCTGTTGACTGTATTATATCATCACTTACCTCAGAGTCACTGCTAATCTCTGCACATCTGGTATCGCAGATCTCATGTTAGTGTCTTGAAGAGTTATTCGAGGACTCACGATTCCCAATAATTCATCGAATGTGCTTAAAGACATTCGGAAAAAGTTAAAGAACTTTTTAGGATAACTCCTCAAATCTTCATAAAGGAACACAAATTGTGTAGTTTTAAATATCGTTGCTCATTAAGGGGATGTACCCAATATGATTTTATTTTCCTTTTCCGCCTCCTCGCCACACAAATGGCTATTGTCAATAATTTTGCTCTCGAATTCATAGTTTAATTATACGTGCACACCGCAGCGGGTACGATTTCAGAGTGATTTTTAAGCGTTCATATGAACACGAAAATTGGGAGCGGTGAAATACCGCTAACGTCAGGTTATAACGCGACGCTTTATAAGCGCTCGTGCGAATGAGGCTTTAGTTGCGCAGTATGTCACGGAGTGGACGTCTAAGTTTTTTGATTTGCTGATTTATTAGTAGGTAGTGTTTCAGATTTTATTTACAATACTCATTGTTAGAATATCTAATTACTTACTATTATTGTGCTCGAGTCTATGTTAAGCAATATTGAATATTCTCAAAATTAACTACCCATGCTCTTTTTATTAGCTGAATAATGGAAGAAAACCAAAATCTGCTGATCCGGGCTCTGCAAGTGTGCAGAACTCCCCAGGGAAGCCTCACATTGGGGAATTCGGAGCTCCTTGTGGAGAGGACTGGATCAGGGAGACTTCGTGTAAGTATTGTTTGGTAATTAAATTTTTTGTGAAGAGTTCAATAAAAAACCAAAAAATTAATTATTTTTCTTTGCTTACAGCCGTGGCGGCCGAATGAATTAGTGGCGGCAAGTGAGGATATATAGGTGGTAGAGGCTCCACCCTTTAGGCCTCGAACCCTATTTTCCGAAGAGTCACACCCAACCGTAAGCAATTGAAGCTTTCCTTATTATTATATTATATTTTTGTTTTATTTAGAAGTACTACTGACATTAAAATGCAAAAGTATATTTATTTAGATATTTGTTTTACATTGCATCGATCAACATAACACGTCCTTAGTTTCATAAAGTGGAATCAAGTTTTGACAAAATTTCGTTTATGGTAGTTTACTTTTTCTTAACTAAAACTATTTGTGAGTGGTTGACCAAAAAGGGAACTCAATTTATTGCAATTTAATTAGAAAAGAAAAAAAAAGAAAAATTTAGTTTAATTGTAACCTTTTTGCTTGTAGGAACGTCAAGATGAGGTGGACGAAATCGTAAGTGACTATTAGTTTATTCTTGTTTTACTGCTACAACGAACAAAATTAATATTTAAACGTGTTCTGGGTATGGTCCTTATTTCGTTCTTGAAATAAAAATGGGTTTTTTGCTATCTTTTGTATAAATTGGACACATAATTATTTTACTTAACTTGGTGGATGTTGATTTGTGGACTAACTAGCATGGGATTTGCATTAACTTATTTGGAGACGTATTCCGAGTTCATTATACTTTTTTCTATTTCACTTTGTTGTTGTATATATTATAGCTTAACAGAATATGTTGACGAGAGCACAAAATTGGCAATGGACTAACTTGAATAAAATAGTTAAAATTAATTACTCCGCCGCACTTACTAACTTTCATTCGCATGTCGCATGCCTATGCTTTTGGTAAAGGGTTTGCATTTCCTTCCTAATAGGCGGACTTGCTAGATTCTCCTCTGGCTGAAGCTCTCGCCCTCGACTCGGGGAGCGAGGCCGAAGAGGCAGAAAACTACACAGAGGAGGAAATTCAAGCAATCCTCGAAGGGGAGGAAGAAGAAGACGAGGAGGAGGAGGACATCGATCTTGGGGCATTTAACTGGCAATCTGATTTTACTGGATTCGTTGGTACCCGAGAATCATTTTCAGAAGAGGTCGGTCCCAAAATTAAAGAAACCTCCCCCTCGGAGATTTTCTGTAAAGGAGAACGCGTACTGACGTACAACCCCTTATTGTGCAAGTTTTGGTATCATTTTTGTACAGGTTTTTACTTTATTTTTCAGCATCATTTTCCAGTAAATATTATATTTTTAAAAGTTGGGATTAAAGAAAATTCTTGAAGTGAAATCTTCATACAAAAACTAGTAACGAAACGCATTTTTAAGGAGCCGATTTTTTAGTCGTAGTAGAATAATCGGATAGCAAATACGTGTTAATTTATTTTATAGATTTATGTTATAACTGTGTGGGTTGGGTTGGGTCAGGGGTTGTATAGCTGCCACAATTACACATTCGCGCTAGTGACTAGGCGAATAACGAGCCCACTCGTGAAGATAGTAACCTCGCTATTCATCTCTCAAATGCGCGCTTGCATTGAGAGCGGTAAGTCGGACGCGATGGTCGCGTACGAGTGTGCAAAATCCAAATGAAGTTTCAATCCAAAGAAATATTTCTTCGAGACGAGTGATTCACGCGAGGCAAAAAATGGTGCCAGTGTGATTGTGTGATCACAGTATTAGAGCTTTAAATACAATCACACGTTTTCATAAAAAAGGACATTAAGTTGATTATAGTTTTAGTCTCGAAACTTCTCGATTTTTTTATCTTGTAAAATAATGAATACTTGCAACACTATCAAGTCATTGTCAACGTATCAAAATAAACAATAACGGCGTCTGTTTGTGGTTGGTTAGTGCTTGTGGATGTCTTGCGAGTTCTCGTCTTGGCATTTTTATTTGTACTTGTGCGACCATAAGTTTCTTCCGTTGATACGTTGAGTTTGAGCCGCGGTTCCTCCGTATTCAATTGTGAAATTAAATATTTTGTGAAAGGACGCTTTCTAGTGTTATTGAACACAAACAATCTGTTCTGTGCTTGCGCAGTTTAGGTAGTTTTCGTGTTATCTTCATAATATTGGCTGGCTCACTGTGACACATTGGTGATACAATCACAATGTACTCGACATTGTTCATTCATACATTCAATGCATTAATTGCAACGTTCGATTGGATCGCATCAGGCGGCATTTACTGATGAACGAGAGTGAAGCCTTAGTCGACACTATTCGCTTTTGGACCTATCCCAGAGAGGTAAGTCGTACCTATGTAGTAATTATCAAATCATAAATGTTTCTAATGCCGACCAACGGTTAAACTAAATTGATTCATTTTGATCCTGAAGGATGCAGCAATTCAAGCAATGAAATTACTAAAGTACATGGCTGGGTTAATAGAATAAACAAGTATAGTTTCATTCTTTTTTATTATTCAAGCCATTATTATTGTTGTCTTTTACATTGAGTGTCATCGTTTAAGCCAGACTGTAAAAAACTAGCTTGGTCAGTTATTATACTTCATACTCTTATTGTTTCAGATAACACCTTCTGACCATATTTGTCATGCTTGCTGGGAATTAGCAACCCATTCGTCAACATCAGAAAGCACAACTACGAGGCATGTTGGCCATCGCCATGTGTGTGTTGTATGTGGACGCTCAATATTGAGGATGAGAACACGTAGAATTGTCATTCAAGAGCCAAATGAACAGGAACAAAGGATGATTGACGTAATCAATAATTGGATTCGTCCACGAGAGGTAATCTTACACTATTATCTTCATTCTTATTATTTTAAGTACATAGTATCATCAATACATATAGAAGATTTTGTAATATAATTGCAATTGTTTATTTTAGGTTTTTCCAGAGGATGAAGCTTGTATACCTTGTTGGCTTCGAGCACAGAGAGCTTCACGTAGAAGTGGACAGCCAGAGCCATTAGAAATGGTCCAGCCTGAAAATGTACCAGATGATAGTCAGGATGAAATATCAAGAACATGTTGTCTGTGTGGCAACATATTTGAATTTTCACAAGAAAGGCTATCTTCACCAAATGAAAGGCAGACATTGGAAATAATATCTGAGTTGATGGAGCAACAGTAGGTGAGAACAGTGTAATTCATGTTGAAGTACCAAAAAGTCTCAGTACTATAAAGTCTTCTGCATTGCTACATTGCTTGTGTCATTTCATTAAAGTCTAAATAAATAAAAAAAAAGCAATGTTAAGGGCCAATATGTAATTTGATTTTATTGAATAGAAAAGCAAGGTACTATACATGTCACATTATTACATTCATGTCATTCTTTCAGGTGCCCTCCATTTCTGAAGTTTGCTCTCCACGTTGGGAAAGAGCACAAGGAATATTAAACTCAAGAATAACAGTTAATGAGCCTCGGTATATAACATTACCGAATATACGGAGAGCAGCTGAAACACCAGGCCACTGTATTTTCCGTGGTTGTACTGGCTCCAAACGCCGTATAGTGCCAGAAGAAACAAGGCGTCGCATTCTACTTATTAATATTTTATTCCTCGTGGTGCACGCATTTGCAATCTTCATTTGCATGAAGAACAATACGGAGACCTCTATGCTGCAGAGTACAGCTTGGATACTTTTTCATCAAGCCACATTGAGGAAATTGTTTTTCATTTTAATGGAATGCTTATCCAATGTCACCTATGAAAACATACAAAACTACCCCGAACACCAAGTACAATATTTTATTGGTCTAACAAAAAGGCAACACCAGCAAATATTACAGGCAACACCCAGCTTACGAAATCTGCATCGGGGTAGTTTTGCCCTAACAGCACTTCTGTGCAAGCTAAGGACTGGAGACTCGGGGGATAGGTTATCTACTTTATTTCAAGTCCCCAGAAGAACATTAGAAACCTT